TTTACTATAATTATAATTTATGTTTGTAACATGATGTCAAATTAGTATTTTTTTAAACAACTGTCTTCTGTTTTCATTTGGTAGAATAAAAAAAAACTAAGAATACATGCAGAAAGATTTAATGAATTGGCTGGGATAAAAAGAACAAAAAAAAACATTTTCTTTTCTAATTTTTGCCGTGTCGATTGTGCTGTTTTGATGGCTTTTTATTGTCCACATTGGATTTGAAATTTCTTCCACCACAGAAATGCAGTAAAGTAAATGCAGATGTTTTTTGTCACAGCACTGAAAAATGTGAACAAACAAAATGAAAGCATTCATGTGGCCGAATGACCATTTACGAGTCTCTGTCATCAGATCGAATGACCATTCAACTGCTTTTCGAAAACAAAAGAGAAGTCTTAAAATATGATTGTTATGGTTCATGTTTATATTATATCCGTGCTGTGAAAACAATCCAGAGAGGTCAGAGCTGTTGACCTTTGACACCAAGCAGATGAGAGTTTAACCCTTGGCTCGAATGATGATTATTTACTTGCCTCTGCAGACTCAGCGACATCTTTATCAATGTTAATCTGAAAGGACAGTATGGGATTGAACTCTTGACTTCAAACATATGATTTTAACCCAAGTGTCACACCTGACCACTTTGAGAGTTTGTTTCAGGTTTTCAAATCTGGTGCTCCAAAAACATTCTGTTTGTTCCCCCAGCTTTTAAAAATACATAAGACAAAAACAATATCAACGCATATTTTTTGTCTTTTTCGTTTTGCACTTAAAGTTTACAATGAACTTTTCACCTAAAACATAAAGATATATATATGAAATTATTTTCCACATATGACCTTTGTAAAGCCATTAAGCAAAATGTACCCAGTCATCAAATAAATTAAATTAGGGAAACTGCAAAGCTAGGCTGACATTTATAAACTAATGATTGGCCCAAATCAGACCTCATCAGTCAGTCTACAGTTAACAGACACATTCATGCACAGAAACTGGTTCTGCTGAAGCAAATATTTGTTCAAGATATGGCTTGAAACATACAGTTTGATTTAAAAATTAAGATTTTGAATTTGATGTTTGTATTACAAGGAAAGCAGAATGTTTACCTCAGTTTATTTATTACTTTTTAACTGTCAAAAGTGAATAATTTAAAATTTGGGATGCACTGATGGTACACCAACGATATCAATATTTGATATTGCTGATTTGGCCAAAAATCAATATAACCATTATTAAAGAAACACACATTGTGTGTGCACAAACATACTTGTGTCTTTTTTTGATACTATGAAAAACAACCAGACCACTGACATGGCTCTCAGTTATTAGGTCATGTTTGTAAATGAGATGTGGTTCTCAAACAGTTTACCTGGATAAATAAAGGTTAATTAAATTAAATATACTGGCTTTACAGCATCACTATCACGATAAAACAGATACTGCTGGACCAACCCTTTCCCCTCCCGAAACAGAAACACAAATGGCAATAAGTGGGAAATCCTTATCTGACAGTTTTACTTATCGGACTGATACCGATACGCAAAACAATGGCCAACATCGGCCGATACCGATGGTAATGCCGATATATCATGCATCCCTATTTAAATTTATAAAATTTATTTAGAAAATTTATTTATTTAATACTACTTTTTTGTTTTGTATTTTTTTTCCTGAGATTAAAGAAAAAAGAAGCATTTTAATGGTCTTTACTATAAACATACCCCAGGCTTCACATAGTTAAATTGAGCCTCTTCTGTTTGGTGCTTATCTCCTCACTTTCTGTGACTGTTTAGTAAGGCACCTGTTAGCTTTATTCCCTTTAGACCATGACTTTAATGGTTTTTCATCTGAGTCATCCAGTGGTTTGTGTCCGTCACAACGCTCACAACGCACAGAAATGTGTATGAATTCACACAGAACCCTGGTGTCTGTTTGCTTGCTCAGCTGCTGAGCTCTGATGGATTCTGTGCGGTAACCAGACAGTTAGCATCCAGTCTGGATTAGACTGTCACTGCTGGATTAACCCACTCAAGCCCACTGATGAAACTACAACTGAGGCACACATTATAAATTCACACATATTGTTTTCGTTACTTGACAACCCTCTTGAAGACAAGTGGTCACAGACTGCTTCTTTTTTTTTCTTTCTTTCTGGCACTTGTTTCTTTACAGCTTACAGCTCAGATACAGACACACCCAAACCCAACATGTCCTTCATGTCGGACTGTAAAAGTTTTGAGAAAATGGGAGGGGGACAATTTGCACGTGGAAGTGTGAATTTACACTCTCACAAAAACAATTTGTGGCCAGCTGTTTTGGTAATAATGCTCCATATGCGTTTTCACTTGTGATTATTTGCAGATACTTTAGGAGTACGTGTGGAGTGTTTGTGTTTATACATGTGAATGCACACAGCTTGTGTCTGTATCTGTTTAGTTTTGTGGTTGTACGGTCGGGTGGGTAGACAACTTGCTTTAGGCTGAAAAACACAAATGCTTTAATGAGCCGTCAAAGTTAGGAGCTTTAACAGTTGCAGTAAGAGGTGTTAAATGCTGTTTGCAAGTATTTTTAGCTGGAAATTTAAAATGTACATATTGTTGTTTTGAGCACAGACAGCATGTTGTGTACTGACTTTAATCGGTATTCATGGCACCACCTGCCACACACAGTACCTGACTTTCTGTCTCTTAAGCCGTAGACGATGGGCTGTCTGATTAGAGCGCCTCTCTGGAGTCTCGAGCACATAAACACATTTACTGAGCAGCTCATTGTCTTCACCACATCTCTGCGAGGGAAGATACATCCCCACGCAAAGACACATCCAGATACTTTTAAAGGTGGGTCCTCACTCACAGTGAGATACCAGGCTGCCGTCTGCGGTCTCCAAACCATCTCCGTTCTCATGGAGATAAGAAGTGTGCCTCATTGTTGGCAGACAAGAGGCCTGTTATCATCTTATCAGAGAGAATCTGGAGGAGGTGGGGCTGAAGTGTGTGTGTGTAGGTGGGGGGGTTAGAAGGGGTATCTTTGATTAAGTGGGGATTCTTTGTCATGCAACAGGTGCTGCTGTCAATCAGTTTGCCTTCACATTAAAGAGGCTTGGGTGTTTGCAGTATTTTTGAACCAGTCTGTTGTGGTAATCCTCCCCTACAGACTGACCTAAGTCACTATACCTTTATTCTTGCTTTGTTTACTACATTAAATTTGAGGCTATATTCTCACCATTAAAGTCCTTTGGTCCACTTGTTTGGTCCGAACGAAAAGCGGACTTTATTTATTTATTTATATTTCATTTGGTCTGGTTTGCATTCACACTGTGCTTTTTTGCAAAAGGACTATAGTTTATGAACAAAGCCACGCGGATGATGAATATTGCTCCCGTTGCGTCACCTCTTTTGCATGTGACCAAATAGAGCTAATCAAGCCTATTGTTAGGCGATGGCCCTCCTTTGCATGTGACTAACCTGTTTGTCCATGTGGAGGCAGTGCTTATAAGGCTGAGTTCACCTGAAACTCGTCAGACTGAGGAAGTCTCTTGGGGGAGAGATGAAACATTTCACTAAAGAAGAACCCATCCAGAGGACCTACTTATTTTTTCTTTTTGATTTTTTTTCTACCTGGATTACTGAGATGCATCAGGACATTGCTCCCATTAGACGGAAAGGATGTTTGCGGTACAGAGCACAGACCTGGAAAGAACGATGGTGCTGTTCATGCAATTGCAATACCATTTAAAATTTCTAAAGCATCTCATTCAAAGGTGGTTTCACATTGATATACTTTTAATTTCTGGATGGCATTGGCAAATGTGTGCTGCAAATCAAAGGAGACGAGATGCTTCGCGTTCCCTGACCAACAAGTAGTCATTGTTTGTAGCGCAGTGGTAGCGTTAGCAGCACTGAAGGGCTAATTCTGTAGTCCAAAGAGGTTCATGTTTCCTGTGGTTGGTTTGCTTCGAGGCCGGTCTGTATTCACACGAGAAGCGAACCGCACCAGAGTTTGTTTGGAAGCGAACCGAGACCACTTCAGAAAGTGGGTCTCGGTCCAGTTGTTTGGACCACACCAGGGTTCACGAGTGTATTCACACCTGCATAAAAGGTCCAGACCAACGGGGAAGCAAACTCTGGTCTGTTGAAAGCAGCCCAAATGTGTCAGGTGTGAAAACTCCCTAAGCATCCCAGGTTTTTCTGCACCGAAACACCAAAACTGTTTAGAATTTTGTACTTTTTTTCCGTTGCAAAACATTGATTCACAGACGTTGACCTTACTTGCCAGCTATTCACTCTGAAACACCAAACCGTCATTTTCACATTTATCTAAGATTACACAGTACACATGTTTAGCTCCATTTATACTTTATCATTTTCTCACCCTTCTTATTATCATTATCTGTGTCACATTCACAAAGCAAGTAGGGTTTATGACATATTTGCGCAAACATGTCAGTCAAGTTCAGCAGGTGTGAACAATTTGCTCTCCTTTTGCATCAGACTGCAGCAGAACACTGTTGTCCTTTCTGTCCAGTCTAATTATGGCTGTTCTTCATAAACACATCAAGCATAAAAGTGACAGAAATAAAAAGAAAAATGCATTCCAACAGGTTTTAACAAATGTAGAACAGAGACACTCCTTAACCCTGCAAAAACAACGTCAGGGAGGAAAGATGCTCAGAAAGCTATTTCCGAATCAATGAGTAATGTTTCATCGATCATCAACCATTATATTGTATTTAATACCACATTATGGTCAAAAAAGCCAGAGCAGAAAGATGCTAGTTGTTGTCTTTTTGTGACGGCTTTGTGAATTACATTAATTAGCAAAATTCAAAGTTGTGCTTGCAAAAGCTGTGCTGTGCTCTAAAGTATCTAAGCTTTCGATTACTAATTCCTTTATAAACAGGTAAATTATTTTCATTTTCTCAATCATTTCACTAAAAACAATATATGGAGAGAATTGTTTGTTAATTGTGAATGTATTTTAATTTCTCCATGCAGAAAAAGACTCCAAAGAGGTGTCCAGTGATCCATCAGGGGGTTCTCTGCAAGAAGCTGGAAGCAGAGGGGAACCGTTTGGAGAGACCAAGAGGGAGAAAAAGGAGTCATCCAAGAGCAGGAAGGAATCTAAAAAGGATTCAAGCAAAGACATCAAAGAACCCAAAGAGGAGGCAAAGAAGGAATCCAAGAAGGAATCCTCGTCCAAAGAGAAGAAAGAGTCGTCGAAGGAGAAGAGGGAGAAGGACAAAGAGAAGGAAGGAAATAAGGCTGGGAAGGAGTCAGGGGACATAAAAGTGTCCAGGAAGTCATCTGTAAAGGTGAAAGAGAAGAAAAAGGAGCCGGAGGCTGCAGAGAGCTAAATGAGTCGATGCAATAAGATTTCTTTATGTGCAAAACAGACACGTAAGCAAAACACGAGACAGGTGTCTGCACTCATGATCTGACACAATACACATCCGCAAATTTAATTTAAACTCATATTTACATGTAAATAACTCAGTCAAGGTCACATATTTTTGTGGCTAAGCTGATATTTACATGTACATGCTGTGCTTCTAATGGATCACACCACTTTCACCAGTTTTAGTGGGTTTGCTTGTCGATTGTGGCGAGCCCAAGAAAAGTGAGCATGAAGACAAAACCCTCCTCCTCCTCAGACGTTTTGCTGACTCTGTCCATCCTTGCTGTCTTGTCTCAGCAGCAGTTCCACCCACAGCTCTGATTCCCGTTCGGCCCCAGACCACCCCTCCACCGCCCCTCGCCCACACACGCTCCTGGACGTGACATCAGACACGCCCTCCCGCCCCCTCGTGCGGCTCCAAAGCTTCGCCCCGGAGCCTCCCTCGCCGGTCCGCCGAAAATAAACCGCCCCGACGCAACCAGCCGCCCACTGCATCCGAGTAAACCAAGGCCACATCCTACAGCTGCCACCATCACCGCTGCTGCAACCCCCTCCGAACTCCAACACAGAGGGTTTATTTATTTATTTTTTTTCACTTTTCTGGGACGCTCAAGGACATGTGGTAGCTCATAGACACATACTTATTTCTGCTGGCCAACACTGTGTTCATGCAGTGAATACCAGCAGGACATTTTTGGAAGCAACAGGGTTGCACATGCTCTTCCGCTCAAGAACGCTATAACGGAAGCTGTTTTTCTACAGACCCATAAATGTCGTTTTTATAAATAAATAAATAAATAAATAAATAAGCATTTGTTTGCCAGCAGACGAGTGGTCTCATAGACGCAAACACAGTAATAATCGTTTTTTTACAGCACACTGTAGTAAATTATTAAAAGTTGTATTTTCCTTAGAGATGCAGAAAATGCATTGTTTCTTTGAGAAAGTTGCATGTAGATCCTGTCAGACAGCCATAATCAGAAAATTGGGGATGCTTACAAAGCACTTCTGAACATTTTATTAGAGACCCTGCAGACCCCCATGTCTGTATATTCAATTTCAGCTCGTCTGTCCGTTTGGAAACTTATTTTTAGTTTGTATTGTGAAGCAGATGCCTGTTTGCACTGTTGCTCATGGCTTCTGTTGTGATGTGAACAACCCTCCTGAACTGTAGTTGGGAGTGAATGTTTTTTTTTTTGGTCCCGGTTTTGAAAAATGTAAATATTTAAAATTTTGATCATAGCTAAAAACACCTAAATTGAAGCAGCTCTCTTTTTTTTGCCAAGATTGTTTGAAAAGTCTGTGATATTTCAGAGTAAAATGTTTCTTACCAGTTTGATTGTCTATAATAAAGAGAAGATTTTGTAGTTTTAGGAGCAGTTCATATTTGCCAGGATCCTTTTGGGAGTCTGCTTTTATAGATACGTTTCATTCCAAATGCTAAGATTCTTCTCTTTAAGAAAAAAATAACTTTTTTTGATAAATGGGTAGTCTGTAGAAGATAGTCAAATACGAGGATAAAACCAAATTTATTCATGAAATATGTAGAAATAAAGTTTCATATTGTAAATAATCCAAGCCATCTTATTCTGTTGTTTTGATTTTCAAATTATACTCACAAAAGGTTTTCCTTTTACATTGCATCTGTGGAGACATTTCCAATTATTTTTGATTAACATGTTGTTTGTTTACCTGTTGATGATATTTAGAAGTTGTAACTAGATCCAGGCTTAAATAATGTAATCTGGACTGGACAGTCATCTTCCCTCAGATTTCTGCACTGAGTTGCCGTCCCTCTGCACTGAAGTTGTAAGTATATTATATTCTAGTGATGTTTCACCCACACTCTACCCATACATGTCAACCCCTTCGGATGTTTACCTGTACACTAGCCTTCAAAAATCTGTCATTTTCACAGCCTACCTACTGATAATTATAAAAAATTATAGATATGTACCGGTAGGTTTTTGTTGATTTTAGAATACTGAATTAACACCACCTTATATGTGGTTTTTTTTATACCACTGTAAGAGTTTTTCACTTTGAGAAACATTTTAATGTCATCTCCCAAAGGTCTGATTCTTAAATGTGTGTTTTCCTCACAGAGATGTTGACAGAGATTGAAAAGCCACCCAGCCCTCGTCAAGCTGATGAACAGAACTCTGTCTGCAGACTTCTGAAGGTTTTTCTGTTTCTTTCTTTTAGGCTCCAAACGCAGCAGAATGTAAAAGTGTTCAAACAAAGCTGTCACTGTTTAATATGGCAGCGGCTCTCAGTATGTGTACGTTAAGGAGCGCGGCAGATGGAGTTTCACTCTTTTAATTTTTTGTTTCTTTTTCTCGCTTAGCTAAATATTTTCATTTCAGTCTCTCAACTCATATTATCTCACTCTTTAGAAAATGTTTTCTTCAGCGCTGGTAAATTTCTTCGGCCCATCTGTCATCGTAGTTTCTTGTTCTTTTTCCCCCCTTTTCAGTTCCTCTTTCTGTTTTTTCTGCCCCTCACTTTTTATTGCTCCATGTTTTTTTCTCCGTTTTTGAACTTGCTTGGATTTATTTCTGTAATTCTTCCACAATCACTTTAAGATCTCTTCTTTCATTGTCTTTGTTACCTTTCATTATATGTGTCCTCTCTTTTCATCCCTTCGTCAAGTAACTTTCACAAATTTGTAAGTTGTGTTTTGTATTATTTTTTTTTCTGACATCACCCCTTTTAAGATCTCTCAGCGCTGACAGGAACTTTTCCTAGAACTGGAACTTTTTTTTATATAATTCTGAACTTTCTCACTCTTGGTCCAAAAGAGGTTTCAGCTTTAGCTCTCAGCTCAGAATAATTTTAAATATTCCCTTATGAAATTTGAAATTTGTGAAAATGAAACCAAATAACCTTTGAATGAGCATCTGATTATAAGGTGTGCACTGATCTTCAATCATGACCTTTAAAAAGTTTGACCTGCTAATTCCGATTTTGGCCGAGACGGATTTTTTAAATAGCTGACACTGTGAGATGTTGTAAGGTCACAAAACACCTTCAATGTTCCAAAATTATTTTATGAAATACAATGAACAATACCCTTGAAACAACTTGGTTTAACTGGACATTACGTACAGTAGTGCTCACAGCAGAGCAAAAGGGGACAGTGGATGATTTTCCAGAAGCCTGCCTTTTCCACCGAACTTATCTAAGGATCAGCCGATCTCCAGTCTACCAAAATAAAATAAAACAGCTACTTTTTGGTTTCAACCCAATTCAAGATGGCTGCCACAAACAATTAACATAAAAAGAAACACAAAAACGGCTGTAACTCAGCTGATTTTACATAAATTGAGCTACAATTTTGTATCGTTGTAGCTGACCATTAGTCACAACATAGAGTGCTGTTGTACAAGATCTTTGTTTAAAACTCAAGCAATGTGTAACTTTTGGAGTCAATCCTGTTTGTCTATTAGTAAAATCTCATAAACACTTGGAAGGATGTTAATGAGACTTTCTGAGGTTTGTCACTAATTGTTTTGAATGAATCCAGCTCAGCATAGCCATCCCAGCTAATTGACCTTAGCCAACACAAATATGGTTATAACTCAGTCATGTTTTGCAAGTATGGAGCTAAGGTTTAATGTCATCATCAACACACGCTCTGTGTTTCATCTTGTGATATTTCCTCATGGTTTGACCAAAGCAGACACAACTCTTGTCATTTCTCAAAATAAAACTCTGGCATGAAAGGTGATGGGTGATAGGCATTCCTTCAGGAAATACTAGCCCTTTAATTTTAAATTGATCTATTCATCACAGCTTAGAAGATCAGTGTAAGACTAGATAAATATTTTGGTGTGAGGAGAACAGTGAGCTTCAAGGGTCATTTCTGAGTTACTTTCCTGTAACTTTCTCCTCTAAAACAATTCACTTTTTCTTTATTTTCGAAAACAATTCACTTTTTCTGTATTTTCTTCCCTTCTTTTCTAAGTTTCGTTGTGTTTTGTGTATAAACACTCATTCAGATGTTCAGTATGCTTCTTCCATCGTTCACACGTGTGTGCAGTAAACCAGCTCTGATGTGCGAGACCACCAGACAAAGCTGCACACACCCAGCTGTTAGGAACATCAAATATTTTACTTAAACACTCCAAAAGCTTCTGTCTGTGCAGCAGTTTGGGCGGAATATAATAAAAACAGAGTTTGGATTTAGCGAAGCAGACGCCTTTTTTCAGGGTCTTACTCTGAAGCTTATACTCGTCTCGCTGGATTTAAGGTATAAACAAACTAGATTCGATAAACGCTGCAATATTTTACGCTTGCCGAAGATTTAAAAACATCAGCAGTTTATCAACTACCAGAAAACTTAAGTGATTCAGATTTCTTTTTTTGTGTGAACAATACTGATCCCGTTTTTTTGATCTCTGGAGAGAATTACTAAAATTATATTTTATTCCTCTTTATTGCTCAGGAATGCTTTGATTTTCTTAAACTGTTACAAGATTTTTCTGTTTATGTGGAAAGAATAAGAAAATAGTGTTTTATGAAATACATCTTCAGATGTGACACCCATATTTCTGCTTAGTGTCCTTATTGTAAATAAGGGTTTTTTTATGCTTATAAATTCTAAAAACATTTTTCGATAAACAATTCATCAGATTTATTTATTAGATTATATATATATACACTCGGTTTGGACCCCCTTTTGCCTTCAGAACTGCCTCAATTCTTCGTGGCATAGATTCAACAAGGTGCTGGAAGCATTCCTCAGAGATTTTGGTCCATATTGACATGATGGCATCACACAGTTGCCGCAGATTTGTCGGCTGCACATCCATGATGCGAATCTCCCGTTCCACCACATCCCAAAGATGCTCTATTGGATTGAGATCTGGTGACTGTGGAGGCCATTTGAGTACAGTGAACTCATTGTCATGTTCAAGAAACCAGTCTGAGATGATTCCAGCTTTATGACATGGTGCATTATCCTGCTGAAAGTAGCCATCAGATGTTGGGTACATTGTGGTCATAAAGGGATGGACATGGTCAGCAACAATACTCAGGTAGGCTGTGGCGTTGCAACGATGCTCAATTGGTACCAAGGGGCCCAAAGAGTGCCAAGAAAAGATTCCCCACACCATGACACCACCACCACCAGCCTGAACCGTTGATACAAGGCAGGATGGATCCATGCTTTCATGTTGTTGATGCCAAATTCTGACCCTACCATCCGAATGTCGCAGCAGAAATCGAGACTCATCAGACCAGGCAACGTTTTTCCAATCTTCTCTTGTCCAATTTCGATGAGCTTGTGCAAATTGTAGCCTCAGTTTCCTGTTCTTAGCTGAAAGGAGTGGCACCCGGTGTGGTCTTCTGCTGCTGAAGCCCATCTGCCTCAAAGTTTGACATGTTGTGCGTTCAGAGATGCTCTTCTGCCTACCTTGGTTGTAACGGGTGGTTATTTGAGTCACTGTTGCCTTTCTATCAGCTCGAACCAGTCTGCCCATTCTCCTCTGACCTCTGGCATCAACAAGGCATTTCCGCCCACAGGACTGCCGCTCACTGGATGTTTTTTCTTTTTCGGACCATTCTCTGTAAACCCTAGAGATGGTTGTGCATGAAAATCCCAGTAGATCAGCAGTTTCTGAAATACTCAGACCAGCCCTTCTGGCACCAACAACCATGCCACGTTCAAAGGCACTCAAATCACCTTTATTCCCCATACTGATGCTCGGTTTGAACTGCAGGAGATTGTCTTGACCATGTCTACATGCCTAAATGCACTGAGTTGCCGCCGTGTGATTGACTGATTAGAAATTAAGTGTTAACGAGCAGTTGGACAGGTGTACCTAATAAAGTGGCCTATATATATATATATATATATATATGGATTATGTATCACTTTATTAGATTTATTTACATAGCACCTGTTTTGGCTGATGCCTATCACATTGGTAAAATTGTAATGTACAAATTGGGACAGCCTACGGCGCAGGGCAGTAGTGTAAGTGGCCGATAAATGCGTCCGATGTCGGCTTCAGCCCGTGAATTGAGGCACAGCCTTAGTCTTCAGTAAACCATTTCAAAGCCAACCTATTTGAGGTTAAAGCTCAAAGTAAATTGCTCTTGACTTTATATCAGACAGTTTCAGCGTGTTAATTATCTAATTGGCTCCAGCTGTGACGGTGTGGGTGTAAAGGCAAGTATTTCAGCTCCGCTGCTGCAGCTCAAAATGTTCATTTTAATGACTTTATGTAATTATTTACAGGTATATTCATTTTATGACTTTGAACACAATTTTTATACTTTCTTGTGCTTTTTTAATGAAAGTTTTTCAACCCATCCAAGAAATTGCTATCTGCACCAGGTAAGAAACCTTTTCAGAGAACTGCATTTCTCTTTAATGTGGTCTCAACATGTTTGCTGTGTTTTCTTCCTTAAAGAAGAAGATGTCAGAGAGAAGATCTCCGTCTCCGTCCCACAGCAGCAGGTAAAGAACTGAGCTGTGTTCCAGTCGCAAAAGGAATCCCCCCTTTCCCACCACAGCAGTTTCAGTGTTTTTCTTTTTCTTGCTTGAGCTGAGGTTTTACAAAGTCAGTTAT